CTCTTCATCTAAACCAAGATGATTCAAGCGCATACGCTATGGATTGCTACACTACAAAAGTATATTGACAGACTTATGGCGAGATTGTCTACCCTATTCCACATCCTTCTGAGTGGGACATACCAGATGACTTACAAACAGTTTTGCCACCAGCCATGGACAGAAGGCTACCTGGCCAACCAAAAAGTCACGATCGTATACCGTCTAAGGGTGAAGAGAAGAAGAGATCGACATGCAGTCGGTGCAAGGAAATTGGTCATACAAGGTTGACATGTGGATCACCAGTGCCATCACAATCATATTTTCCTCTACCAAAATATGGATCCTCATCAAAATCCCAATCACAACCGGCTTCACCTTTTGGGACTGTTAACTTAGGTGATTTTTAAATGCAAACGTTGTATTATGTGTATATTATGTGTGAACTTTTAACATTTTCAGTTAGGCATGTATTAGTAACTTGAGTTTGAACATTGCTATGATAAGTTCAGTTGTTATCACTTATTAGACATTCATTTGACTATCGCAATGCGGAATTGACTATCGCAACGCGAAAATGACTATATCAACGAGAGAATCGCAATGTGAAATAAAAATCGCAATGCGAAATGAAAATCACAATGCAAAATGAAAAGCGCAACGCGAAATGAAAATCGCAACGAGTGTATTTCCATAAAGGCTCAAACAAAGCCTGACAAAGTGTATTTCGACCCATCGCCACGCAAACTTTTGCGGTCATCAAAGGCAGACGACAACTTAGTCCACGTAGCTTTCCATATATACGAACCCCACGGAAACAGATTCTATGCATTTAGGTCCTCTACCAATAATATTAGCTCCTGAGGAATAGGTTGTCTGGCCTCTCTGCCTAAAAAGCCGGCAACCAAAAGTACTAGAAAGCATACTCGGACAACATCAACGTCATTCATCCGAGTAAAACCATCTTTCTTATTAAACAATTTCTTCAGGTCTTCGACGTGTAAGTTCGGCTTCTCTATTGACTCATCAGGAAAAACCCAGGATAACCATGATGGGCGGGTGATATGACGAGTGTACCGGCCTACATCATCGTGTCCGAATCGTAGACCAGTGATTAAGCAGAACTCCTTCCGCCCAAAACAAGTATACGCCGGTGGAAAATGAAACCATATCTCTTCCTCACCATGTTGCATACTGTCGGGTAGATCGTTAGTCATGGTCTAAAGCCACAAATGGGTCAAATTAGCATCTCCACCCGGATGCTGTACTCTCAGCCATGGCCCGAAGCATGTTTCCTTAAACAATTTTTTTTGTGCAGGTGAAAGCTTCGAAGCAATTGTAGTGGCTAGGCTAACTTTATTCCTTAATGTCAATGAAGCCGAAGAAAATTTCTACAAAAACAATAAACATACCAAGTTAGATATACCAAAAACTACACTGTGAAGATATACAAAAAACAATAAACATAAAGAGTAGTAGTTTATTCTTGAAACTAAAATTTGCAACACTGTTTTGTCTTTTGGTTGAAATGAAAATCGCAACGAGATAATGAAAATCGCAACGCGGAAATGACTATCGCAACGCGAAATGAAAATTGCAACGAGAGAATCGCAACGCGAAATTAAAATCGCAACGAGAGAATCGCAACGCGAAATGAAAATCGCAATGCGATTTTGGTTTCGCGTTGCGATTCTCTCGTTGCGATTTTCATTTCGCTCGTTGCGATAGTCAATTTCGTGTTGAGATTTTCATTTTCATGTTGCGATTTTAAGTTTAGAAACTATTCTTCTTCTGCAAATTGAAACTTTAATGGATTGCATTACTTCAACCAAAAGACAAAACAAAGACAAATATTAACTTTACATGGTTAAAGACTAAACAGTTTAGCAGTATTGGCAGCAATCAAATGAATTTAATAAGAAATCTAAGTGAAATGGTTAATCTATTATTGAAATTACCAGTAAACTTATCATCAATTTCAATATGAAAAAACCTAAAATAATGCAAAAATTTCAAAATAAAAATAATTAAAAAAACTAACCCTCGGAGGTTGATTTTCCATTTCTGAATGATTGTGAGGGATTTCTGACCGTGAATTGTTGTGAGGGATTTCGCCGGAGATGGGGACGGAAATCTTCGGAGATGGGGACGGATTTCGCCGTAGAGAGTGAGAGATGGAGATGGGACTGAGTTGTGATTTTTTTAGGTTTTAGGTTATGAGTTGCGATTACGGGATATACTGTGGACGGTTCAGTGTTCTGATAATTATTATTCGTGTTTGGAATTTGAAAATAAAATACGCGTAGCGATTATAATGACGCTTTAAAAATCGCGTTGCGATTTACAGATACGCGTTGCGATTTTACGTATTCGCATTGCGATTTACGGATACGCATTGCGATTTATGTATTCTCGTTGCGATTTACAGATACGCATTACGATTTACGTATTCTCGTTGCGATTTACGGATACGCGCTGCGATTTTACGGATACTCATTGCGATAGTCAGAATCGCGTTGCGATTTATATGTTCGCGTTGCGATTTTCATATTCGCGTTGCGATTATGGAAAATTGCAATGCGAATTTGTACTATCGCATTGCGATTCTGGGAACTGATTTGCGATTCTGGAGATCGCGTTGCGATTTTTATTTCGGATTGCGATTTTTTGGTCATTTTGGTAAATCCAAAAAAAGTTGGTTAAAATCGTATATTATAAGGTATTTTTGGTCACTGAAGCGATTTTCTCTTAATAAAACGCGAGAGAGTGAAATTACAGGCTTATCCTAACACCAAAACGGCAATAACAATTAAAAAATGATAGTTAAAAAAAGGGGTAAACTACACCTGATCACCAAAGTTTGTGTAATTTTTTATTATTATTAAAGTTTCAAAAATTATAAAATAACATTACTATTTTATAACAAAATTATCATTTTACCTAGGCTTGTTAAACGAACCAGACATTTAACGAACCATTTGGTGGAAAGTTCATTTATTTATTAAACGAATAAAGTACATGAATAATATTTTATATTTGTTTAATTAAATGAACGAACAAGAACAAATGGCTAGTTCGTTAATTTACGTTCGTGAACATTCAATAATTCATTCGTTTATATTCATTCATTTATATTTAGTTCAATCTCCATACCCGTTTAAAATGTTAATACCTAATAAATTTTAATCTTAAATCTATTAATATTTTAAAACTCAATTAATTTTAAACACGAATAAAAAACTAAATCAATTAAAGAAAATATAAATTCTAAAATTATTTGGAAAGAAAAAACTCTTCTCAAATATAGATTCAATTAATTTTATGTTTGTTTGTTTATATTCATTTATGTTGTTTATGTTTGTTTACATTCTTTTGTTTGTGTTTGTTTATATTCGTTCGTTTACGTTTGTTCGTTTGTGTTTGTTTATCATTTTAACGAATAAACATGAACAAACTATATTCCTTAACGAATGAATACGAACAATAATTTTTTTTCATTTAGTTGTTCATGTTCGTTCGCTTGTTTAGTTAAAGTTAAATGAACAAACATGAACATATTCTCGTTCGTGTTCGCTAAATTGGTTTACATGCCTAATTCTACCGTTAAAGTCTATTAAATTAATGATATGACATGTTAAGAAAAATTTAATATTCAATTCAGATATAATAATAATAAACATAATAAAAACTCCCAATATTTGTCATTTATTTTAATTATACTATTATTTTTAATAATCGTAACTCTAAAATATCACATATCTTAAAAATAAATTCTGTTTGAATTATCAATTAACGTGAACACTGTTTGTTGCAATGACATAACAACGATAAAATAAAATAAAAAAGAGGTAAATGGGTCAATTTTATCTTTGTACCCCCACTCAATTTATCATTTTCGTTTTTATCATATTTTTATATTAATTTAGTTATCAAAATTGTTCTATTGCATTATCAAAATTGTTCAATTGCATTATTCTATATCTTATCCCTCACTTAAAATTCTAAGTTTATGGCTTTAAGTCATAGATTAACGCTTAAAATCCTAAGTTGATGGTCTGAAGTTAGAGATTAACGTTTAAGGTTATGGGGTTATGATTTAAGGTTGCTTAAGGGAAAATTTTATAGAATGACAATAAGACCAGCGCTGCTGTATGGATTAGAATGTTGGGCAATCAAGAAGGATCACGTAAGGAGGATGGAGGCCGCATAAATGAGAATGTTTCTATGGACATGTGGGAGGACTCTGTAGGACATGACACCAAACTCTGTTATTAGGATGTCCTTCGGGGTGGTGCATGTATCCAAAAATTTGAGGGAGGGAAGACTACGGTGGTTTGGGCATGTGCTTAGGCGACAACCGTCGGATGCGGTCAGGAGGGTAGAGTCGATTACAGTCGACGGTGCCAGAAGGAGAGGACGACCAAGGCGGAAGTGGGAAGACTGCTTGAGATCTGATTTGAAGGATTTAGCCCTTACCGAGGACATGACCTCTGATAGGAAAATATAGAGACTTAAGATCAGGGTAGCCGAGTAATGCGAGTCACAGACATAGGATGTAACATCTCTGTCTTCTTTTTTAATGTCTTTGTAGTAATTTTCATGACTTCTACTTTATATAAGTTAATGTCATTGGAATTTATGAAGGCTTAGAACTAGGGTAGTAGAGTAGTGTTGCCTTAGTTTAGGTGTTAACCCATTTGACTTTATTATTTCTCGTAGCTTGCTATCGTTGACTTCTGTGTATTCTTCTCTTCAGGTTACCTCTTTTTAAATTTAGCCGGGTCTTACTTTTCTGTCTATATGCAAAGTTTTTTACGCAGGGATTTATTTGCATGGATTACTTCCCATTACAGACGCTCATATGAAGACTGCATATGAAGACTGTTCAACTATGTATTTATTTATTTATACATGCATTGCATTTTATCTTTATTTTTAATTTTATAACTGTCGGAGGTCTCCTACAGAAGTTGCTCTCAACCTGGCGTTGGGGGTAACCTACTACCCTAGCTCTCCCTTACCCCATTGCATATGAAAATAGAGTTTTGTTGTTGTTGTATAGAATTATACAATTAAACAATTTTGAGAGTTAAATTGATACGAAAATACAACAATGACGAAAGTATTAAATTAATTCTATTACAAAGACAAAAATAACCCTTAAACCTTATATATATATATATATTGCATAAAAAAGTAAATATTAAGGGGTTTTCCAGTATGTCCAACGTGAACATTTTATAACATTATTTATTTATATAAATTTGTGTTATTTAAAAAATATATAAATTATAAATTAAAAAAATTATGAATTTTAAAGAAACTTAAAATATGACTAATTAAAACTAATAAATATTAGATAACAAGTCGTTGAACTGCAGTATCTTCGGTTTGGCGTTTTGTTCTTTCATCTAAAAGAAAGAACACAAATACACTGGAAATTGTATCCAAAACCACTATACTAACTGAAAATCAGGTCTGATACAGCAAAAATATATGTTCAGTCTCCAATAATAATTTCACTAATTTACATATATATATCTGTAGATTCAAACGCTGGGAAGCAAGCTTTTAGTACAAAGCTCCCAAGAGAACATTGTCTTTCACGATTCCATAAACTGTGATGGTGGAGGGCTTGTTTTAGTCTTCTCTGAACCTGCAAGTTCATATGAGTGTAAATATTATGACATGAAGAAACCATGCCACAAACATCACGCGCATTGTGCGACGGTCTGAGTATTAGGGGGAAATGAGAGATTTAGCCCGTGATGTTCTTGGCAAGATATATAGTACATACCATAGATCCCACGCATCTCTACTTCTCGCCATTCTTGAACAAGGGCACAACAGCAGCACATCAAATGCGAAAGGAAATCATCAATAAAGCCACCCTGCCATAGGAAGAAATCGGTAACGTTTTGAGGCCACTGAATGTCGGGTTAGATCAAAACTTACTATGAAGTGTGAACAATAGGAGAAGAAGGCATAGATGATAGACAAACGGTAGAAGAACATCTGAGTTTAGCTCATTTTATCATAATATGGAATTATGGTCACAGTTACGCAGGATAACGATGTTCAGACAGTTTACCGTATATACTTATCATTATATGATAAGCAATGAGACCAAGGTCTTATATTTTCACGAGTAGAATGCTCTTTTCTGGCAGAGAAAAATACCGTAATGTTCAACGTCTTGCGAAGCTTCCTTCTAACACAGCAAGTGTAGCAACAGCATGACAATATCAATGAATACGCCATTAATTCGTTGCATGCTTCTGCAGAAGCTGCCGAATGTTGCAGTGTAAGCTTCAAAAATCAACATAATACCAAAACCTCAAAAACAGAAGTTTAAAGGTATTGCAGTTTGAAGAAAGGCTGCAATCAGCAAGCAAGCCCAAGAGGGAGAAGGTAAGATAAGCAGAATTCTCATAATAACTTGTTCATGGGTGCTAAGCGATATAGACACACAGATGCATGCATAAACATTATAGATTAAATTGAAAATAATCTACAGGCTGTGATAAACAACCAAAGTACTAAAATAAATCACAAAAACTTACACATATGCCTGTTTGTTGCAACAGTAGCAATCTTTGAAAATGTACCACAAGGATAGAAGAATGTCTTTATACCTACAATTAGAAAAGGTGGCTTAGGATACCAGATGATTGGAGAAAACAGGAAGGTCTTCCACCAAATACGTCTACAGAAAAGGAAAATATACAAAGAAAGTTTCCTTTCCGTGTAACTTCTATCATGTCAAATAGAATAGAAAGAAGACAATTAAGACAATAATGGGGCAGTAATGACATAAAAAGGACTTTACATAGAGATGGTTCCGAGCAACAACCAAGTAAATCAGCATTCCATTCTTCATACCGATGTGAACTTCTATGGGAGAGCAGATCATGTCCTGATGAAACTGAAGTGTTTCTGAAAATGCATGACATGTTTTTAGAAACCACACTTAGATTTGAGTACTTGAAATGAATAAACTATAAGGGAAGATTCATAAGCTTAACGACTCAAGGCATCAAAACTGAAACAAATGCCAAATTCCTAGTAAATAACAATGTATGAAGAGATCGGCAACCAACGATTGCATTAAAAGCATAAAATTTTAGCCTTTCCACCCAACTTTTAATTTTATCACATGGTTCCGAGGATTTGTGTGTGTGTGTGTGTGTGTGTATAAAGAACCATGATTGCCTTTTGGCAATGTAAAATTCAAAATGAAAATAAAAACAACCTTGAAGTTGTGCAAGAATCGGAGTTCTTAGGGGAGTTTGCATCATAGGAATGATCTTTCTCACTATTGGCATCTGAGTAATTACGCTCCACTTTCTTAGACCCTTTCGTGGATGAACTCTTCTCTGTAACAGAAGTTGCAGCAACTTCTGTTACCTCAAGCAAATGCTGGATTACTTCACACTGCTTCACATCATAATTAGACTGCGAACGGTGTAGTTCCAATCGAAGCTTCCCATTTTCCTTTTGCAGTGCTTCATTAAAACCCATGTTTGGGTACGAAGAAGAAAGAGTTTTCTTCAAAATAATGGCATCATTTTTTGAGGGTTCTGGTTTCATTATAACATCTTGCACCCTTCTATCCTCTTCATCCAACGTGTACTCGTGTTGATCTTTCTCAATAACTTCTAGCCTCTCCTGCATGTTATGGAAGAATGAATCAATTACTAGCATGCAAAGCCTACTCTGCCAGGCTAAACATTCAAATAAATATGGCAAATACCAACTAGTCACTGCGCTTTATTGAAGTTAGTCAAGCCATTATGGGACAAACTGCAACCTTTTTAATGAATTACATATAAAGATGCATAAGATTATTCAAAACAGTTTCGAGATTAGTCGGTACCCTGACTCGAGCATTATCCACCAGAGTGATAAGAGGAACAAGCTTCAAATATTGGTCTATTTCATTCTGAGCCTTCCTAAATTGATAAACAATGTTCCACCCCATGGCCAGAACATACAGGTAGCTCCTCTCCTGACAGCTATTCACCAAAATGTAAGACCTCCTCAATGCATCCTCAAGCTGCTCCAACGGCTCCCTCGTCTCGGGATACCTTTTAAGCTCTGATATCTTAAGCTGCTCCAGCAAGTTACCGATCAACTTCAGATGCTGAGCAAATTGCCTACAACTCTTCCTATGCATTCGTGCTGTGCTTGCAGCTTTAACTATCATAGCTATTAACCGCACAGCATCAAAGCCCGCAAGCTGGGCTACGTTTGCGATTTCTCCAAAATGTTCCCACGAAGATGCCATCCTTTACTCTCAATCAAACTTAAAACCTGTTTTTATGTAAAATTATTAGATTACTGCATAATCCATTTTACTACATCAATCAAGTCAAAATTGAACTTAAATGAACAGCAATTTAATACCCCAAAAAAATATGAACGAAGCTTGATAGGGTAATTTTCAAAAGTTATGGCTTGTTCTAAGCTAGAACTTCAGTGCTTCACCATAACAAGAGCTTTGACTCCAATTGCATTGCCGACAAAAGCCAGACCTGAGTTCTTAAGGGAATTGACGATACGTCGATGAAACTTGAGAAGAAATAGAATCTGTGGTTTCAAGCAGGATCTATCAAGAAATCGAACACCCACTCGAGATCCTCAACGTTTAAGAGCTAAAAACAGCGCAGCATCCGTTTCAGCAGCTGAAAAGGAAAAAATAGGACTCAAATTGTTCACTAGAAGATTACCCATCAAGCTGCTTCATTCACTTTGTCGAGTAAAAAAAGAAAAAAAATCAAAATGCGAAAGGATTCAACACTTGAAGAAGAAAAAAGAGAGAGACCCTAAAAAATCCTTAAGTATAAATGACATATATTTGACGGAATCGCTGAGTGAGCTCGTTTACGAGTTATGAACTTAAAAATGCCAAAAACAGCACTAACAAAAAGAAAATGAGCGAATGGCAGCGAGACACTCACCTATTCGTGAGAAACCTTTTTCTCTTGTTTTTAAGCTTAATTCTTTTTTCCTTTCAATCTTCAAGAAAGTTTCAATAGAAGAGAAGCAATTGCTTCGCGCAAAACGAAGAACATCTTCTTCTTCTTCTTTCTCCTCAATGGGCAAAAGCTAAAATCAAAAGAAAAATAAATTTTCTTTGGTTACTATATATTTTATGGCTTTAAAACAACGGTGTTGTTCGTTTGTGACCGCTGCAGACGAGCATTGAGATTTGTTCCTTAGCGTAGGACAGGTGGTGGTAAAATTTCACAATGGCGAAAATGTCCCCGCCTCTTCTTCTTTATTTACGAGAAATGCCAGCGATTTTCACGGACGGACGGTAAATAGTCAATAGTAAATATTGATTTCTGGGGTTGACTCTCCCTCTCCGCTATCTCTCACGTCGTCAAATAATTCACCCCAGCTGGCATCATGGACCGCTCGGGTTTGCTTTTTCCGGTTCACCTAAGCACATGGTTCCATAATCCATACCCTTCATTGCATTTACTGCCCCTTAACATCAGCCGTCCTACCATGATTAAGACATATTAACCCCTAATAAATACTAGATTAATTAATTAATTAATTAATTTTGACCCCTCGGAAACTGTCTTTGTCTTGCTGGAATGTTAATCGTTAGATAAAAATTATTTAGTTTAATAAATCGGAAAACAATGTACATTAATTATAAGTTTTGGTTCAATAAACATCATCTTAAGTAGAATGATTAGAGACTAATTAACATTTGTTTTTAAATTTATGATGTCCATCGACTTAAAGGTGGCCTTGCTTGCTTTGCGTACATGTTATAATAAAAAAGTAACTTCAAAAGATTTTATGGTAACATAAATCAAGGCTTGATTTAAGCATGGGTACAATAGCATCAATCATCATGTCTGCAAATTCAACTTTCCAATTTAATAATAATGATCTAAGTTTGATTTTCTACATATATAAAAATTTAAACTCAAAATTTTATTTAAATTATTTACCATTTAAATCAATCATGTTCATATCATTTTCTTTATTTTTAATGCTCGTTAAAGTGGTTTGATTTTTATTATATTTTATTTAGCATATAATAATAGTTTCAATCTTACATATTATGGATTGAACATTCATTCTTGTCGCTGGCATACCATGTGGACCCATTATTGTGACAGTGCCTCACATGCCTTCCAATTCACATGTCTTCCTCTCCCTTCATCTCCTAGTCGCTCTCGTTTTTCTTTCATGTTTAAAATCCCGTTTTAGGTCAAGCAAATTCTATTTATTTTTTTATTTTAATATACAATATTAATTTTAATTATATGGAGTATATAATATATCGTGTCAAACAATTTATTTATTTATAAAAACAAAGGTTTCCTTGTTTCAACCTTGCCTTTATCTTTTTAACAGTTAATAAATAGTGTGTACTACTTAAAGATTATTACTTTATATATCAAATAGTCAAGAATCAAATATTAAATATAAATAAATACTTGAATTAACCGATTGATTGAAATTCTTGAATATTTTTTGTTGTTGTAATTATTAAAAAAAAATAGATTTTTTCATACCATCAAAGATATATATAAGAGTAATACAAGTTGACTTATGTTCATCAAAATCTGACATAAATGCTTCTCTATACAAAGCTCTTTAGGGTTCAGGAGAACATATCAATGACGCAGAAGGGCATTAGAGGACATTGTTACTGAAGCAGAGAATGTGATGGAAGTGGAATTAAATGGTCAAAATGGCAGTTTAAACATGCTTCAACTTGTACTAAGCAGGGATGTTATAGCACAAATTTTGTTTGGTGGAATGCCCAGATAAATGTACTGCCAGGTGGTTGGAAACAGGATTGACAGCCATCCCCACAATATAAACATTATTTTCTTTGGTGGAATGCCAAGATAAATGTACTGCCAGAGTTGGAAACAGGATTGACAGCCATCCCCACAATATAAACATTTTAAAGTGATAGTTAGATGAAGAGTAATTAAATATTGAGATTAATAATTAAAAAATAATAAGATATTACTAATAATTAATTGATTTAGTAGGATGAAATACTAGGTCTATTAAGTAAGGTTAGGGGTTCGAATCTTGGCGTTTGCGAATAGAGTAAATTGGGTTGGAAAGGTCGTCCTCGCCTTTGTAGTATCTGATCTGAATTAGTCGGTCAATAGATAGAATATCATTGATTAATTTAAAAATAATAATAACAAGATTTTCAATGGAATAAAAACAAAGAATTAATTCAACATTTGATTTTTTATCTAACGATTGTAAAAAAATATAAAAGGAAAAATTTTACACTAGAAGCAAGTGATCTTAAATTCTTAACTCATAAAAGATTCACAAATATTAATTGTTCATTTTCCAGATGTGATTGCTCTTTTTTTTTATACTAATTTTTAATAATTAATTTGTGTATTTTCTATATTACAATATTTAATGGGATATTTGTCTTTGTCTAACGTAGTTATCATATTTGAATCTAGTTAGTAGTTTACGTGTAACTTAGGTTGCAACTCAATTTGTCTTCTCCTTTCCATTGTCGGTAGGCGTATTTAGGAGCTAAATATTTACTAAATAAATAATTATTGCGAGAATAATAAATACTAATTTGTTTTATAACTCTATATTATCTTAAATTTTAAATGATGAAATTAATTATTTTATTTAATATATATATATATATATATATATATATGAAAAATAAAAATACATGTATATTCTGTTTTTGTTAATACATGGCATTAATTTTATTGAAAAAAATAAAAATATTTAAAAATTAAAAGATAAATTACTGAATTGATCGTTTTCATTTTATATTTGTATATTTTTTTCTTACTAAATTTTAAAAATTAAATTCTAACCACTTACATTATCGGTTTATTGAATTTTGGTCATTTATATTATCAATTGTTACATTTTTGTCATTAAGTCGTTAACTCATGTTAGTTTGAATATTTGATGATGTTACTTAAAAGGGGTTATTTTTAATTTGACCCATGAACTTTAGGCATAATACTAATTTGAACCTAAACTTTAAATGAAATATCATTTTTACTCTTACATTTGACCACAATCTTTTGTTACTCCCACCACTCACCATTGTCTTCGACTGTCACTGTCAGTTGACATCATCGCAAGTGTTGTCGACTGTTAGAATAATAAGTTTTTAATTCACTTAGTTTTTGATTGTTAGAAAAAAATGTAAAACTCAACAAATATAATCTCTTCACTGCACTAAGAGGACATACAAGTAAACGAAGATGTAATCGAAAGAGAGAACATCATAGTCTGAATTCAAAAAAGGAAATCAAGCTATAATCAAATTAAATTTAAATCTTCAAATAAAATCTGAACAATATCCCTGATCAAATCTATAATGTATTTGTTAAAAATATTGTTTAATTTTAATTTATATTAAATATTGAATTCGACTCCGAAAATCCACTTCTTTCCAAGAGTGGGAGGGGCCTAAAAGTTTGAGCACTTCTCTTTTGTGCCGGGAACGTGAGTCTCCCCTGTTTTGGGGTTCATTTAATAATATTTGGTTCATTGGAACAACACAATAGTAGAAATAAATAATGGGATGACAGCATCAAAGGATAATGTACAAGTTAAAAATATTGGCGCATACAGTTCAGTAGTGCCGTTATTGCCAAACCACGTCAACTCGTGTCTCGTGGGGTCCCTCTCGGAATTGTTGCCCATCAACCTACCTGTCCTTTGCCATTCCTCTCATTATTTTACGATCAAAATTAAGATAGGTTTAGTTTACAGAATATAAAATTATCAGTGGGAATAAAAGATTACCGTAAAATAAGATTATTGAGAATATTGTATTTTGTGTTTTGTTAGTTTAGCATAAATATAGGATTACAGTGTTTGATTAAAGGAATAAAAGATTATTAAAATATATATTTTACCAAATTATCCTTATTATATATTTATTTTTTAACAAGTTGAATTCTATTATAATATTACTATAATTAATTTATATTTTTCTATAAAAATTTTAAATTTATAAAATTTATATAATTCTTTTACAAAATTGAAAAGATAAATAAGTTTAATGAAAGGGTAAAATTTTATTTTAACTCTTGAATTTCATATAAAATTCTAATTGACTTTTTTTGTAAATCTAAAATAGTTTAAGGATAAATTTGTAATTTAATCTTCGTAAAATTTTTATTATTCAACGACAAAAAAGAATGATATTTTTTGAAAAAAAAATTAAGGACGTTTTAGTCCAAAACGCCGGTAATCCAACAATAGCTAAGAGAAGGGAGTTAATCACATTCCCAGTAATATACCCCTAAAATACTACTGTTGATAATAAAAGATTACCCGGGGCTGGAAATGTTGGTCAACAAACGGGAGAATGAAGATTCTATTCCTCCGATAATCCCACATACCCCGAACCAAACACGCCCTTAAGGTAGGCTTCATTACTGGTTTGGCTCAACTATTTTGTTCATATTAATTATACATAATAACAATTTTGCCCATCAACGGATATACGAGTTAAAAGTAGAACGACTGGGCAACCAGCTCATGAGGCGGCCCTCAGATCCCCTTAGATTTCTGGACGGAGAGTATTTAACTTTTGGGATATAGGGTAATGAGAATATTCAACGAC